TAAGGCACTTGGAAACAGTTCAGGGGGTTCTGGGTATATATGACAAGATACGATATGTGATATTATGTATAGGCAAGATTATTCACCTTTTAAGTTCACTTTTTTTTTTCCCCCCCTTCTCTCCTTCAAACCAAACCATGCTTCACTGATTTACTGCAAGTCCTGGAATTTAGTTCTCTGCTGCAGAATTTGATAGGAGAACAAGGTGTCTTCAGTAAAGCAGATGTTCACTTTATAGGATCCTGGGTTCAACCCTTCACAGTGGCTAGGTTGGCTGGACTTGGCTGAGGTGGACGTTGCCAGCGTTCCAGTAGTGGGGTGTCACTTGTCTTCTTTATGGTAAAAGAACAAATTAAACACCATGCTGCTCAGAGTGTTTTTCTCCTCTATAGACACTGTTTCTGAGCTGCTTTTGTTGCACAGCAAAGTGAGCTATGCGTAAGGGAATCTCAGCTGGACTTACTGGCGTAAGCACAGCTAATGCTCTGTTGATATTTCTGTATGGCTTTTGCACTGAGACCAGCTTACTTCTGGCCAGCTTGGAACAGAGCAAACAAACTTGCACTTACTGTTTCAGCTCCATACGGATACCTCTGGAAAACAGATTTAAGAAATCTTAACAAATTATCTAGTCCATTCTCCTTTAGGAAAATACAACGAAAAATATTCTTGAAATGTGTTCAAGTAACTTGTTCCTAAAATCGTTCAACAAAGATTTCCGTAGTTTTTCTAGGCTGACTTAGCTGTAATTTGAGTTTTATAATTTTAAAATTGTCTATCTTTCTTGCTGCAGTTTAAGCCCGCGATCTCTTGTCGATTCCCTAGTAAAGCGATAATTTCCTATATGTCCGAAGCCTATTATCATGTCTCTACTTTTTCCTTCTCTAGCTTGAGCAAAATCATTTTTCTTCATCTGTCCTTGTAGATCTTGGTTTGCATACATCTGATAATTCTTAATGTTCTCCAGACCTTTTCTGTGTGGGCCTATTTTTCACTAAAAGTGACATCCGCAATGGGACAGCATGTTCCAGTTGAGGCTTCACCAGTACTGACTGGATATTCTGTGCTAAATCCCAAAGCTTCTAGAGTACTTTCACTGTGGAGTAATTGGAGGCAGTACATCAGTCCCTTTATAGGCATAAATTGACCTCAGCAGAAAATTTGGCCAAAGCATCTGTGTATGAAAGACCGTATGACTCTTCATTGTTCATGTGTAAAAGATACCAGGAGAACAACAGATCTTGTACAGTTTTTACCAGTTAAGCTGCAATCTGCAAATTAGAACAAGCCAATTATACTTATGGATTTGTTGCTGTCATAACACTCATGTTCTGGAATAGTTCAGGTCAAAGTGCCTGGACTCGGGCCTCTCCAAACGATAATAAGAGAGCAGCTAAATCTGAGGTATGTCCCTTCTCCAGTCTGAATATTTGGATATGAAGCAAATGTATGTCTTTTTCCTCTGGCAGACCTGGACGACTTGTGATGGCTGTGCTTCGTCCTTACTTTGAACTGGATGTCATACGTTTTACTTAATTACTTTTCTACATCCCACTAAGATGATGCTTTTTGTTCACAATAGCAGGATGTTACTGATTCCTATTGAGTTTGGGTTATACAGGAAGCCCCAGATCTTTTCTTCAGAGAAAAATAATTCTTCTATTTGGGCAGTTGGTTGTTCCTACCTAAAGGTAGTACTTTGTAGTTGTTCTCAGGGAAATGCCTTCTGTTTACTTCATACTATTCTTCCAGTTTAAGTTCATTTTGAATTCTAACTCTGTTCTCTGAAGCGCATGCAGCAGCTCTGCTAGCACATATTCAAAGTCTGCAAATGTAATGAAATTTGCTATGTATAAGTTTCACCTTAAAAATGTATCATAGCCATATGAAAATAATCAGCCTAAATGTAATGAACCCAATTGCTTTTACTTCTTTTTCCTCAAGGTTGTATTTTAAGAACGGAAGAACATGTAGCTTAAGTATATTTATTCCAAATACTTTGTATTGGAAATTGAAACAGTCTACTGACTATATTTTCAGAATTGGTTAAGGAAATCATTTGGGAATTTTATGTTCTCTTTTCAGCTTTGCACTTTTAATGTCTTGTTTGGTTTGCTTTTGAGGTTTTTCAACTCTCCCTTCTCCCTCTCGTTCCTAATTCATAATAAATCAAACAATTATCTCGGGTTTGGGCATTACAGCATCAAATAAACCACGATGCTGTATCCTGGTACGCTAGCGTGTTACTGGATGTCATCTGTAGTTATGAAACGAAGATAGGAGTAGATTGATTGTTTAATCTTAAATTTTCTTTTCTTTCTATTTTCTCTGAAGAAGTGGGGCAAAAAATTACCAAAGTTAGTGGACAAAACTTTCTCCGTACCCATTTCTTCTGTGCTAAAGGTTGGTGCAAGTCGGGAGACTAGGTTATCCTGGTGAGAGCTTCAGCTATGTGCTTCCAAAAGTGAACACAGAACATTAGGTCTTTTATGAGTCATAATTTCTCCATAGGTTGGGCTGAGCCTTGTGGCTCATGCAAGATAAAATTGCTGGAGTATATTTCTTCACAAAAAATGTCTGTATCACATCAAGGTGATTATAAATCATATACAAGCCTGCAAAGCTAATATGCAAATACAGCTCCTGACAGTATTCAACAGTACAAGTACAGTTGTACTTTTTAATATTCTTATTACTTCAGTTGTTTTGCTGAGGAAAGAAAAATTCATGATTTAATAGAAAGAGGAATTTCTTCCTCATTGACGTTTGCGGGCATTCTCTTAAAAGACCTTTTGAAGCTTTCAGGTCTTTTGAAGCAGACATATATGGAGTTTAACAGCAAGGTTTTCTTCCCCAGAATTACTTTAGGGGCCTCTTTAAGGTTTTAAAGATTAGGGATGGCCAATCAGGCATGCTCCAGGTGTTTCCTCTGCTGCGACTAATATCTGCTTTTATTAGTAATGTGACCTTTATTTTCATTTGGATCATGTCTGACAAAATAGCATTGTCACCTGTTACCAGATAGAAGTGAGTCCTGGTTTCAGGAATAAACAATGAATATTCTTAATTGTGTGTAAGAGCTACTCTGCTTCCTCTTCAAGGAAAATTTATGATGAAGACGGAAAGAAAAAGCAATGCATTACTAGATTGAAACCACCAAGTTTATATCGTACAAAAATGGAAATTGTCAGTCCTTTAACTTAAACCAGCATTACTGGAAGCAGCAATGTCAATCACTCAGGCAAGAGTTCCTATTTTTCATATAACGGCATTTTTCTTGGTCATTTTTCTTTAACATCAATAACACATCTTTGGGAATTGGCCAGATTCTGAGCCCAGGACTGTAATTTAGTAGAATTCAGTGAGCACTGCTTGTAATTTTCAGAAGATAGAACTGAGATTCTTTTTTTTTTTTTTTTAACACCTTTTCTATTCAAAATATATAAGTGCTACCTTTATATATAAAGGTACCTAGTCTTTTAAAGAAGCTATGCAGAAAGATAATTTCTATGCTCAAAAATACCTTACTCTTTTTTTTTTTAAATTCATTTGCCTACAGTGATGATAGAATAGTCTGTAGAATACATACCTGTTGTATTGTCTGACCTAATTTTTATAAAGTGCAACTACTGTATTGGAGTCACCGTCCAAACAAAAACTATGGCAGAACAGTTCTAGTTGTTTTAAAATGATTTATATCGAATGATCATATACATAATTGGAAGTCGTTTTTTAAAAAAAACCATCTTGTGTCCATTTAGAAGGGAAATAATGGCATACTGAATGCCAAGTAAGGTTTTGGTGTTTACTGGGAGACATAGAAGTTTTTATTTTCTTTACCGCTATTCTTTTATGGAAAATAAATTTGCTGTCTCACTTGAACTTTCAATCTATTGGCAACACGTGTACGTGGCCATACTAGTAGGCTTTAAAAAAAAGTGTACAAAAAAAACCCCCTTGTCTCACCTAATTTCCTTGGCTTGCCTATGGGGAAATTTTGAATTTAGTAAATGGAACAAGCATGGCCTGAATCTGCTCTGTTTGGTAGCAGTTGATACGTTGTGTCAAAACAGTCCTGCATCTTTGGAATTAAATTATGCATATTTTTGAAGGAAACACTTGCAAATATTACCATGCTGCAAAAATGTCTGAAACAGTTGGTGCTGATACAACAGTGGCCAGGCAGGAATGGAATTAAAATATTTCCCTTCAGCCGTCTGCTCTAGGCTTATCAGCTGCTAATGTCATACAGAAAATTGTGCCTATTACACTGATCCAAGCTAAAAATACATTCCTGCATAAACACTTTTCTTTTGGGAAAAGAATCTTTTGACAGTTTGGATTTTAATGTTCGTAGTCAACTTATCTCACCCCCAAAAGCTCCAGTGGATCAAAATCTGCTGTCCTTTACACCAATTAATAACTTAACTTCAATGCAGTGACATGGATGGAAATATTCCAAGTTTACAGTGCTCTAGTGCAAAAAAGTTAGTGGCTTTGTATTGGAAAGTATTCCAATTCTGAGTCCAAATGAACTAGACACAGAGCAGAAATTCAACTTCACATCCTTTAGAAGGATATTAAAGCATTTTATGCAAATGGCCCAAACACTGCAGACTTCATACCAAATATTTCAGTCTTTTCTAGTAGGAAACCTCAGCAAAGGAAAGAGATCACATTAAAGTGGATGCTAGAAAAGTTTATTGTAAATATAAATAAATATAAATACAGATTTATTTTGGTGGTCCTTGCCCTTCTGAGACATAATTCTCTTGGGGTTGGGAGGGTTTGCTTGTTTTGTTTTTCTGGATTTGATTCGAAGCATAGCACAGCCAAAGCCAACTAGTGACTGTACTTCATCTCCCACCTCCATGGTGCCTGTATGGATCACACTAGATCAATATATGTAACTCGCGTGGGAGAGTGCACTTTATGTTTCTGTGTTCACGTTCTAAGATGGGGTGATGATGGCAATGAAAAGCCATGCAGGAGACACTTACATTTTCTGCGCTCATGATGAGTCCTCAGATGCTCAGGACAGCCTTAAAAACCTGGTGAGGAGCCAGAGAAACAGTGCAGTATGTTAGTAATGTTCAAGCACATGGGTCCATCTCTTGCATAATACCTAACACAGGAAACAAAAAGGCAAATGACCTTAGCCAGAGAAAAAACTTCATCCATCTCCAAAACTGAAGTCCAGATTAGCTGACTTACTAATTTGCTTAACTAACTAACTAAATGACTGCAGTATTCCCAGTAATTGTTGTACATTTCAGAAACATCATTTATCTGTTACTGTTTTGTCACATTATTTTTCTTTGTTGCGTTAGTTAGATGAATCCAAGAGTCAGTGAAGCTATTACTTACAAGACTTTGTTTAATATAGAGACACGTGGTTTTCCCATGGTTAATGAAAAGGTATCAATTATTAAAATAGAAATAATTTGTTAAAAGTAAAATGTTATTCCATTAAAGCCACAGTTTGATACACCATATAGAAATGACGAGGTGGATTTTCGTAAATTAGTTGTTTAGATAAATGAGACAAAACACTCAGTTTTTGATTCTGGTACTTCCAGATACAAAGTTGTGCATGTGAATTCAAAGACAGATGACATGGTTGTATTTGTTTGTTTGTTTGCTTGCATACTGCGTTCATCTTGAGCTTCTCGGTTGTTTCTAGAAACTAATAAAACATTGAGGCACAAGATAGCTGCTTGTGGATATCAGTAAGACTGCAAAACAGCTGGTTTTAAATTAGTGGAAGAAAATTTTGGCTTCAAAACTCCATGCCAAAAATATAACAGTATTCTTGATATCATTAAAAATTAAAATGAACTGCTTTTCATTGATAATAAGAATTTCCAGATTTACATTTGGAAATGTTAAAATTCATTACTGCTATCTGATAAATGTTGAGAGGTTACCTCCCTAATTATTTTAAATAATTTAAAATTATTTTCAAGTCTTCCTTAAATGGAAAAGCATCATTTAAAAAAAATAATGTGAAAATTTCTATTTATTTTTTATGAAATTCTGTTCAGGTAAGGAGAAAAAAAAAAGTCAATTCCAGTGCGGGGTTTAAGTTACAGAATGCATTTATTGGGGGGCTAAAGCTGCATCTGCCTTTTATTTGGAAGGCAGCGGGCAGCAAGGCCTGCCGCAATCTAAGTAAACCCAGACAGTCCATTTCAGTGAGTGATAGGAACCTGAAAACAGGCATTAACACCACCGCCCCCCCCCCCCCCAAAAAAAAATGCATCCTAACTGTATGTCTGCTGCTGTTTGCTATCGGGTGGTTGGGCCCAAGGATCTCGTATGGCTCTGCTGAATGATGTAAGTGTGTGTGGTACAACTTGAGATTGGTGTGCCAGGAAGTATGATGTAAGGAAGAACAGACTGTTTGCTTTCACTGAAATAGAGGATTTTAACCTATTTGCTATGCATGACATACACAGTCATTATGCTTTAAGAAGAAAATGTTCACAGGCTACGTATGTTTGCTGATACCACCTACTTCTAAATTTGCACCTCATCAACTCATCGTTTAAGGAAGTGAGGAAGGAAAGAAATCATGTCTTAATTTGTGTAGGTGGATGAGAATGCTCTTAGAGCCCATGAAGCAGGAGGACAGCCTGCAGCCGAGCCAAGAGCAGATCTTCATCTGCTGGCTGGCGTGCAAGGAGGTAGAGCGTGCTTCCACCCCAGCCCTTGGCAGCAGCAGCCCCAACTCACTACCCACTGATGCTGGTAAACTGCAGAAAGGAAGAAAGAGGAAGGATGGAGAAGATGGACCTGACTCCCCCCCTGCCCTTTTCTGTTGTTCTTCGTTGTAACCTACAGTTAGAACATGGACTCATGGTAGGAATTTTTAAAAGCCATTTTCAGAAGGGTAAGGGACACAAAAAACAATATCTGTAATTGTCATTATAGGCATCAAGAAGGTCACTGAATCCTGGAAACTGTACCTGCTTCAGTTTTAAAGTAGGTATCACACAGTTTGGTCCCTTCATAGTTGCTCCTGTCAAAGCATTTCACACAGCTTTAGAAAGATTTATGAAGTTAGCTTCACAATGCTCTGTGAAAGAAGTGAATTATTACTAATTCTGGTTTGGCAAAATGAAGAGCTGTGATGAAAGAATTCTGGATAGTCTAGCTATGTGGTTTAAGATACTTTTTACCCTGCTGAAATATATATCCCCTCCCCTAATTCAGATGTTACTGTCCGAGTACCAGAGATAGCAAAAGGGAACACAAGTTCATGTCTGTGCCCTGTCTGAACAGTCTGGGATATTAGCTTAAAATGTGGTTGAAGACAGATTTCTTCTAGGACCAAGGCAGATTTTCTTTGGAGTAGGTAACCCCTGAGAGTGGGATGATTGGATGAAAAACAGTAACATCTCAAGAGGATACCACTGTTTTTTTTGGTTTTTTTTTTTTTAAGTGAAAGGGAGACAGTCCTAAGTGCTTTGTCCTAGGTCACAAAGGAAGTAAATCAGTAGTGAGATCCCACGTTTCCTGACTCCATGTTTTTGCTTCTTTAGCTTGTCTCTTTACTTTAACATGGAAACCTGCAGTGTGCAGACATAGTGTGTCTTTTTTTTTTTTTTTGCTTCTCTTCTTGTAGCCTCTAGAAAATAAACTGTCTGCAGGTAACAAAAGGCCATCAAACACTATTTAAACAAGCAGCTGAAAACATCTCCATAATTGGGAAGAATCTTGAAGTAGGAGTTATTGAGTCAGAAGAGGTGGAATCTTGTAAGCGCATTCCT